TGAAAGACGGAATAAGACACTCTTTTGCCAGAGAGTGTAGGACTTCAATACTGAGGTCTCAAAACGCCACGTATGTGTGAGGTGGTCAGAACACGGGGTGTTTTCACACCCAGGTGTGAGCAGTGAGTGAAGGACCCTGGGTAGCAGGTGGAGAAAGAGCTGGAGGTGTCATTGCTCCATTACGTGGCAGTTGTCTTCACTAGGGCTCGTTAAACCCAGTTCAGCGAAGCTGGATGTGAAGCTGAAGGCAGGAATCAAGACGGTTTTAAGCAGATTGCAGCAGTGAGTGACTGCGTGTTTAACCCATAAAGGCCCTTCTGAGCGAAGTCAATGTTGCTGGTTCGCTCTCGCTCCCCGGAGGCTGCACAGGCCCCGGGCCGGCGGCGCGGCGGGACCGGCGCGGGGCCTCCCTCAGCGCTCGGCGGCCGCTGGGGGGCAGCAACGCGCCGGGCAGCGCTCGGCGGCGGCAGCGGCATTCCCGCCGCGGGGCGGCGCTGAGGGGACGCGGTGGGGACCGCGGTCGGGTTGGTGCCGCCGGTGTGCGGTGAGCTCTACTTACGTGCTTCAGCCACAGGTTGGTTTCCATGATCTGGTTGACTTCATCCTGGAAAGGAGACGTGTGTCGGCTGAGGCGCCGGCCCTCCCGCCTTCAGCGGCCCTGCCCCGGCGGGGCGGGTACTCACCACCTTCACCAGCTGGGACATGGACACCTCGAACTGGATGATGACGGGGTCCGAGACGTTCTTGACGGGCCGGACGAACTGGTTGTAGTTCTCGAAGAGGGCCGCGTACAGCCGGTGCTCGGCCTCCGAGCCGCCGCAGCCTGCGGAGGGCACCGCGGGGTCAGCGCCGCGGGGCAGTGCGCGGCCCCCGGGCTGCGGCCCCCCCCGTGTGGGGAGGCTCGGCCGGAGCGGGGGAGCCGCAGCTGGTACCTGCGTGGCTGGGTATTGAGTGCTTGGCACCGTGTGGTGCTTGGGGAAAGGCCGAGCCTCGCCAAAGCGGGCGGGAGTGTGTCACGGTTGGCGTTTGCTTAGGCTGGGAGAGGGAAAGCAGTGAAAGGCAGTGCTATGACAGAGTTTTTCTCCTGTGTATCTCTGCAGTGGGGTTCAAAAACTAGTTAGAGGGAGTTACTAGAGAAGTGGAGATGCAAAAAGCACTTTCTCCTCAGAGGCCTAGGGCCCTAGACCTGCCAAAGCTGCAGGGCTCTGGAGAGCAGGGGAGAAGTGTGACCTGATGGACCAGGCTGCTTGTGAGCCGCTGGGGTGTGTTTTGCAATACGATTCCCAGGAAATGAGAACTCTGCTTTCCAGCCTGAGCCAGGATTGCATGTTAGAGTGATACAGCAGCCTGCTTTTTGGAATATGGAAAAAAAGGGGGGGGATAAAATTTGATTAACCTCTATATTCAAAGACTTTTCAACACATTTAAAGAAATGTGCTGATTACCCATTTATTATTCATATTTTTATTTATAATATATTCCTGTTGTCCATTTTGCCGCTGAAAACTGCTGTTCATGGGGTCCTGTGGCCAACAGAAAAGCTGTGATTTGAAATATTTAACCAACAAGGTCTTTCAGCTGTTTTGGAGCCTGTGTTTCACACTGCCTTTTTGTTCTAGCAATAGGTAGCTAGGCAATAACCATCCTGACAGCTGCACACTATTTAAAAGCCGCTTTTAGGGGTCTCTCTTTTAAATTCTCTCCTGGGCAACACACCCTCAAGCACTCCAAATGGAAAACAAACTAATAAAATGCCCATTTGTCATTTATGGATGACACTGTGCCAGTTCAGGAGAGGCACAGAACTGAAGTCTGTTGAACATATTCTGCAGTTCGTTTGAATCACAAATATAAATCTACAATGTTTGCAAGGGCACATTTACATTTTGCCAGCCAGTTGGTTTTCAGAAGAGAAAGAATGGGAGGCAGGAGTGTCTGCAGGTGACTGATCCATGGTGTTCCACAAGGCAGATGTTACTTTATACGAGCTCCCCTCTTCCTGAGACAACAGGGTCCCCCTTATGTGAAACTGTATTCAGGTGAAAGCTCTTTCTTGTCTTTATTTCTTTGTTCCCTTTCCCCTTCTCTTGTTCACTTGGAGGGCAATTTCGTTTTCAGATCAGTGAAATCATTCAAGCCAACTTGTTAACCAAAAACTGAACACATTTATTTTATACTTTTTAGCTGCTAACCTTGCCCTTATTATCTATGGGTATCTTGTATGTCTTAGATCAGTATGTCCTGGAATAAATACTCCCAAATCTTTTAGGCAAATGATTTTACAGCTTGATCTTAATGACTCTTTACTGTAGTCAGTCCAAAATTACCAGCCTTTTTAGGTGTCTGCAGCACTCTAATTACATGTAGCATCCACTGTATCTAAGAGAAGGGCATTTATGTTTGTTTTGGTGCTTTATTTTAATGGTTTGGTGTTTTCCAGATCTGCAGAGAAAAGGTGTGCTGTTTGCAGCTGTTTAATGTTGTCGTTTTCTTGTGGTCTTCTCCACAGTATGCGAAACCACACCTTAATATGTAAGGTGCTTTCTTTTTATAATGTTAAAATGGCTTTGTGTGTCCTGGTTGGCATTTGGAATCAGGACTATTTAACTACTCTACAAGGAGAAATTAAAATAAAACCCCAAACCACACCAACCACAGCAAACTGTGTAACAAAAAGAGCTGTACTGGGATTCTGTACAAGTATCAATTGGTTCGGAGGGAGCTCCAGCACTTCTTCAAAATCATTTGCACCAAAGCCATCTGTTCACCTTTTCACCCACCCCTTCACCAACCCCGAATAAACAAATGGAGGATCACTCACCTAGACAGAGAGAGCAAACAGCAGCAGTTAGCAGGAGAGCCTGCATGCTCTCCATGGTGTTAGGAATTACTGCCTGTCGACAGATGCTGTTGAAGATGAGCTTAGCTGCTAGGATTGCCCGAGCTTGGGAAGTACAGCGAGCTCCGCTCCTCCGATGCGTGAAATGCCTGGAAGCAGCAGCCGGCAGGACCCTGCGTGCAGTTCTGTGCAGTGAGATCCCATTAGGTTTGCTGTGCTGCCCCCTTTCTACCTACGCGGGCTGTCAGATCATTGGAAATGGCCAATAAATTGCAGGCAAACCAGATGTTATTGTAGGAAAGGAGCAGTCTTCTGGCAAGGATAATAGGAAGAAGTTCTTAAACTGGTGCATAAATGAACCTGGTAATTTGACAATGCTAAAGATTTTTCCAGTCAGCTGCTGTACAGGATCCTTCTCTATCAGAAGCTCATGCCAGTCTACTAGGAGAAGTTTAATTAATAAAACTCTTATAATTGAATTGTGCTGAAATGGGTATTGACATTAGGGATGCCTGATTTAGCAGTGAACTGCGATCATGGGACCTGAATTTCCAATTCTGCTGTTCATGTTGAGGTTTTTTTCCTTGCCTGTGTCTCATCTTGCAAGTGCATGTGCTAGGTGCATAACTGTATAAAAACGATGTGCTACTCCCAGGAGTAATTAAAGGCATGTACTACTGCTGACAGGATCTAAGCCCAGAGCGATGTACATAGCAGCTGAGATCTGTCAAGAGCCAGGGGTTTGAGTAGGAGGTCCAGCTTGACTAAACTCCTGAGAATAACTGTCTTTGGACTGATCGTATTTTGATGGATTAGAAATTTAGGAAGGGGAATAAGGGCATAGAATGCCAGCTTGATCCCACAAAACCTTATTGTTCAGGGCAGAGGAGATGGGAAAGAATGGGGAGCTGAATTTGAAGTTCAATTGTGAAGTCATGATTTGTACAGTGGCTCATTTCACAGGTGCCCATCAGCTTCCTTGTTAGCTTTTATGTCACTTTTTGCCCAACATTGAATGACCAGGTAATGGAAAGCTCATTCATGCAGTGGTGGCTGCACACACCTGGGCAGTCTGTGTGGAGGGGAAGGAGGGGGGGAGGGAGAGGGGAGAAAAATGTGGGGTTCCACCTTTGTTTTTAGAAATTACCAGGGGGAAGCCCTGTGGGACTGGAGGCTGCACCCAGTAGGTGCTTCACTCCCTGCCGTTAGGGAAGGATAAATAATGACCCCTTTTGGCACTGCATCAAGAGGTAGCACTGGGAGAAAGAGCACCAGAGCGGGTTCAGCTCAGCTGCTCTTGGCACAGAGCTTGTTTATCCTGTTTGCCCTGTCTCTCAGAGCATCATTCACTCCATCCCCAGACACATGCTCTTATGATAATTTCTGTAATTCTATTAGCTTGGAGGAAATAGCCTTTACTGTCCATTTGATTTATTTCTTTATTATCTCTTTTTTTCCAGAGAAGTCAGCTGCTTGGTCTTTCAGCTTAACCCTTTGTGGATACATGTTTTTGCCTTTGCAGGGCATAGAGATGAGATGTTTTCCCTTTCTGCCTTCTTGGTTTTCGTGTATAAGTAGTATTATAACTGAGATTTTGTTTGTTTCTTTTTTGTCCCAATTAGAAATGAACTAAAGTTTCGCAGATTGGATCATAACCCATATTCCCCAAAAGCCAGTGCTTAAACTGAGTAACTTGGAGACACCTGATCTGCAAAGGTAGCAAAGAGCTGTTGCATCAAGATGTACAGGCATTTTAGATTTATTTGCCATGTTACTGAGATTTTCAGTGGTGTCTGTATGTGCAGGTATTTTGTTTCTAACATCACATGTTGGAGCTCCTGGTGAAATCCACTCAGGTTTGTGGTAGAATATATTTTTATGGCTAGGGAGAGTGATGTGAGAAGATGGCATCACCATACTGCATTGCAGAACCACATAGAAGAATTTGTATGGGAGGGGGAAGCTAATCTACCCAACAAGATCTGCAGTAACAGACCACATAGCCTTTTCTTTTTAGTAAACACACCACTTTTTAGAGGTGGTTTGCTTTGTTAAGATCAAATCTTAATCCACTCAGGTGATGAGAAGAAGAGTATTTTTCCACCTTTGTCTGGGGTGTTGATGCTCCCTCTATAAAAAGCCAATACTGCTTTTCTCTCTAGTGGCTGCAAGGGTGCAGAAGCAGTCCCAGATCAGCTCCCCTGGACACAGATGGTACCTGTGTGTGGTGGTGGTGACAATTCTGTGTGTTCTGATGGAAGACAGCTTTGGTCAGATTCAAAGAGGTTTGTAATGGTAGGGAATGGGGAGGAAGCCAACCGAGGTTTTTCTTCAAGTAGAAAAGCAAAGCCTGGTTCCACATTGCCACTGGAAAACAGTTCTAGTGAAAAAATGCTTTTTGCATGACCACTTTCATTCTTCTTCTTTTATTTTAATGTAAAACATTCTTGTAAACCACCTGAAAATTGGAAATGTTGGAATTGATTTTGTTTGATGAGCTAGGACATTCTCTCATTCATTTTAGCCACCAAATGACCTTTTTAATGTTTTGTTTTCCTCAGAAATATTTTATTTTTGAGATTTTGCCAAAAACCCCTATCAGAAAGCCCTGCAATTCATTGCCCAGTTAAACTGGGAACACTGCTGGGTATTACGTAAGTGGAGCTGCTGAGGGTTAGGCAAAAAAAGCATTTCCTGTTTTGAAAGCACAGTTTTAGGAGGTCAGAGCTTTCCAAATTTGAGGACTTGGGGTGAAATTTTCCATTCTGAAGTTTTCTATAGATGGAATTATTTCTGGAAACTTGGAAAAAAAGTACAGTGGTGGTTTCCAAGAACGTAACTAGGGAAGAGCATACTGCTTTACTTACGGTGGAAAAAAGGAGTAAGTGGGCACAGTGGATGGAAAGCACGAGAGCCCTGGATGAGGAGCTCTAGTTCTGCAGGGATCTGCTGGGGGACAATGAGGTGCTTTTTGAAAGCTTTTTCTAGGTTTGAGGTCTCCGTCTGAGTGTGCTCTGTGTTAGCTGTTAGCTGAGCTGCCAAATCCTTCCTGAAACTTTTGTCTGTGTAGGGGATAATTCAGCTGAAGGCTGCAGTTACAGAGCCAAGTGCCATCAGTCATTACTGCTCATAAAGATAAGGCCAACTGTGAGATGGGAGTACTGGAAGCCTCATTTCAGTTGCATTCAGGTAGTGAGGGAGAGGGTAAGAAGAAGGGACTGGGGAGAGAAGTGATGATTGGTAGGAGGGTGAGAGTGGGACAGAGCCAAAAGTGCTGTTGGTGCTGGGTGAAAAGAGCAGAGAGAGGGGTTTCCGCTCTGCATGGGTCCGGTGTCGGCCAGGTAGATGTAGGTTCCATGGCTAACTTGCTCCTGGTTGCTTGGCTGGGTGAGTCCCTCTCCCTCCTGCCCTGCAGAGGTGTGTAGTAGCTCACAGAAGCATTTAAAGTCTGTGCTGCCTCTTTCAGATTCACTGTTCAGGTTTATTGTGGGATTTAAAGGGGCTTCACCTTTACATTGTCTGCACAGTCCTGGCAGCTTCTCTGGCTTCCACCTGAGTGGAGAAAGCAGCTGGGGCCGTGTGTGCATGTGTGCTGGTGATGCTCTGTGCCACATCAGCTCCTGGCATATAACCTAACATAGGGGAGCATCTTCCTGTGTGAGTGAAGGCACCCCTCTGCTCCTGGGGGGCTGCTTGTGCCCCATCTCATCTTACAATTGTTGTTTCAGTTGTCTGAAGAGAAATAGCTCTGCTCCATGGGTTTGAGAGGGAGAAAAAGCCATTTGAGGTGGGGAAAGCAGGTTTGGCCCATTTAAGCTTTATGCCGCACACCAGTCACCTTGGGAAATGTCCAGAACAGTTAATGTCTGGGAGTTCAGTGCATGGACACGACCAGGACCTTTGCTGAACACAGGAATCCGCAAAGGAGCTGCTCTCAACAATTGGAAAAGTGTTGCTGTAGCATGTCAGAATCTATGTAGTTATCTGTAGCTGTCTGGAGATGGCAGTCTAGATAGAGATGTAGCTTGGTTTTGACAAGGGCAAATAGAGCTGGAGCAGTCCTCATCTGTGATTTACAGAGTCATAGAATCATAGAATAGTTGGGGTTGGAAAGGACCTTAAGATCATCTAGTTCCAGCCCCCTGACTTGTGGAAGAACACAGGTTTAGGTGTCAGCTAATCCTCCCCTGGAACAGGAGAGCCTCAAATCCCCTTCACAAGCAGAAGTGGGGTTTAGCAGTTTGTTCACTGAACATTACCTGTACCTATCTGTGGTAGTAAAATTGTTGTGTTCTAGCAACACCCCAAGGAATGGCTGAGATTGGTTTAGCTTGAAAAATGCCAGGAGCCCTCTTCTCTTACTGCAGGACAAAGTGTGGTGGGATTGTCCTGTGATGGGAGTCTAGGGCCTTGATCTACCCTCTGCCAAAGACTGTACTTGTGTTATGTGTTGTGTCGTAGCTCATTTGTTGAGGATTATACTTAAATCCTCAACAAAACCCTAGCAAATCATGCAGGTCTGTTTGTTCTCAGGTGTCTTCTGCTCATTCTGCTCATTTCACAGTTGTCTTCTCCAGATGCTTTCCTGTGCTCTTAGCCTTAGCTTCATAACAGTGTGTATGAACCCCAGTTACATGAGCTATTAAAGTTGCAATAACACTTGAGGACTAAATATCTATAAATGAAAAGTTCACATTTTATTTCAATTTCATCACTGAACAGAGTATATACATGTTTGTTTTCCATATATTAATTTGGCCTCTGTAGATCAGTCAGTGATCAGAGATGGCAACGTGAGAAACCCAGCAGTGGTTGTTACCTCAGAAGTAGGTCTCTGTTTCTCAGTTTCGTTTTCAAATACATACTCCAGCAGCTACACAGTGGTTCCACTTGTAAAGCTCATTATAAATCAGACACAAGTAGCTTTGATGCCTTTGAAGGAAATAAATATCATAGTGATATCTTCTCTGTAACAGGGAAATTACAGTATTCTGAGGAAAGAAAATGTCCTTCCTGAGGCAATGTATAGAAAATACTTATTTAATAATAACACTTGTGAGCCAGGATGGCATATTGTACAGTAAAAGCCTTTCTCTGTAGTGTTCACACTTCAAATAATGAAAAAAAGGGCTGAGATATCATCAGAAGTACTGAACTCATTGGAAAAAATACTAGTTTTCTGTTCATTTTACTTTTTTTTAATCTCCCAATAAGTCAAGTTCTACTTTCCGTTTCCCTACCCTAAATCTGATGTAAGAGCAAATCACTTGGCATCTCTGTGGGTTTAACAGAGGGGAATTGAGAGCAGGAGGAGACCCAACATCTGTGTAAGTACTGACAATTTTAAATGACAACTAAGGGTTCATGGCAGTAGTGTGGTTTTGAAAAAGTGGCTGCAGAAATAATCCAACAGTCCCCAGGACACAAACAAGGACGAATATCCAGAGGAACAGCCTGTCCACTACCATGGCAACATACTTCCAATCTTCAATGACCTGAAAGAAAAAGCCAGTTAAAGGTATTAGCAATTGGTCATATTCTTTTGCTCTTCCTGTTGCTAATGCCAAGTTTTCATTTCTGAAAATGAATAGAAACAAATCTCGAGGTTCAGGGGATAAACTGATTTTAGGCTTGGGAAGGGATTTTTCTCCTACCGCCATTCTGGGCAGTGGAAGAAAATACTGCAAATACTTCTTAGGTGTCTTAGATACAGCAGGTACTGAGCATGGCTGCCTGGGGGGAGCCAGTCCTGAAGGACCCACAGTATAACCAGTTAAGGAACTTTTTTCTTCCATTTTAGTTTGCATATGCCATTAACCTCAGTGGACAAAAATAGATGGTGTTTACTGCTGTTAGACAAGGTTAGCTTCAGAGTTCTGCTCTGAGCAGCAGTCATCTTAATCAAGGGTCTTAATGCATATTAATACTGTTGCTTTTATTAAAATCCTTTTTTGCCTTGCATATGTTGACTGTGAAAGTCATGGCCTTAGATTCTGTTCTCAAACTGAAGTGACTATCAGGCTATTATTGTAAAGGGGGAATACATCCATCTTCATTTGCATATCAGAAATTATGATTTTTTCCTCTCTGTCTGGTTCTAGTTCCACACAGGACATTGTCACCTCAGTGACTTTACCATACTTGTCAGTTATCCCATGTCTTATATTACATTTCCACTGATGCTAATGGGAATTGTGTGCTGCTGAAATCAGACCACAGTAAATGTGCATGAACAGTTGTTACCAGACCGTGATAATTAAGGCAGAAAGTAGAGATTAAAATTAAGCATCAAGGAAATTGATATGTTGTATCAAAGAGCACTGTGAAAAACATTCAATTAATTTTTAATGTATAAAATATCCTTGAAAATTGTCTTAGTACGCAGTGGAAGCTTTGTAGCTTAGTGTGCGACACATTCTTGCTAGAATTTCCGAGCTGTTAGAAGCCTTTTTCTCTGCCATAAGGTATCTGCTTCTGTTCACTCAGTTTCAATGTTTACAAGCTCATGTCTAATGTTAATAGCTGATCTTCTTTATTTATATTGACAGTAATTTCAGTTAATAGAAAACATTAACTACTCAGCAGCATGCTCCTCAAGGGACTTCTGCAAGATCAGAAACCAGACTTCATTTAATCTGCTTGGCTGAGGGAGGGAGAGCACAACAAGAGTAGGGAACCTGGATTCTCACTGGGATCTTGGTCAGAGAGAGGACACTAGTAGGTGTGAGGATGATTTTTCCAAAGTATGGGTGCTTGTCTAAACAAAACTGAGCAAAACCATCTGAGTTTTCCCAAGCATTATTCACAGTGTATTTGTATCAGCTTTAGTGTGCTAGCTATTGGCCCATGAGTAGAACAAGTGAACAGGGCAGCAGCAGCATTGCTTAAACACATCCTGGATAAAGTACTTCTCATAGCCAATAACGAATGATTTACTCAAGCAAAAGAAGTATCAGGTCAGCTGGCATTAGGATTTTGATCCTACCCGTTGTTTTGCCACATTTGGACAGATATCTTAACTCAGAGAGGGTGTTTGCAAAGGCATTTTGCCAATTTTACTAAATCCTCCTTCTATGCAGAGTTAGGTAAATAAATGCTTGAGCTGCAGGTAGAGTGTTTCTGGTTAACAGGCCCTGGCTGTAGGTTGTCACAGTAGTACTGTTTACAAGGGGGAAAAATACTCTTTTTCTGACCTGGAACTGAATATTATTTTATTTCCTGCCAAACACTACTTGAATGTGGCAGCACAGCTTTTTCAAGGGTATTTAATGACTTAGTGGGCAGTCACCATTCTCTCGTGGTAGAAACAGCCATGTTACTTTCCAGGAGAGTATTGGGGTTTACCAAATTGCTATTCATTAAGTTCTTCTAATGGCAGAAATTATTTCCTCTTAAAAGCTATAGCTACAGTCTCTCTTAAAACTTGAGAATAGCTAGGGAGTCCAAATATGCTTTCTGAAGGACAGCGTGTTACAGAGGAGGGCACGAGATGACGTTTGGAAAGACTGGGATGATCTCTCTTTTTTACTTACACTCTGGTCGTTGTCATCACTTTTCATATGCTCTGCTATAAAACTGACTCCATCAATTGCTTCTTGGACTTCAGGGGAAAATTTGGTGCCTGTTCTTAACCTAAACTCTGGATGAGTACTGACATTGTCAAGAGTCTCAGTGATTTTCGTGTCGTATTTTTTGGCATAGGCTGTGTTCAGAAAATAGGTAGAGTTCTTGTATAAATCAGCTGGCTTCTCTCCTTTTGTCTTTTTGCAGTTGCACAGCTTTTGCCGTGCAGAGTTGTTTTCTGGACGCTTCATGAACAGATAGGCTGGGAGTCTTTCAAGGAACACCACCTTTACCCAGGGGGGCATTGTGTGAGTACTTGGAGATCTGTGGTGGACATTGAGTACACAGACACTGGTAACTATTGAGAAGGTCACCAGAACCATTGTAAACATGAGATATTTCCCGATCAGTGGAACATCTAGAGATGTTGGAGGGACGATTTTGGAGATCAACAGCAAGAACACAGTCAAGGCAAGCAACACAGATATGCATAAGGTCATTTTTTCACCACAGTCTGAAGGCAAGTAGAACACCAGGATGGCTAAGGATGTAATTAGCACACAGGGGATGATGAGATTGATGGTATAAAAAAG